GCGTGCCCGATCAAGATAATTTTTGCATGGCGTATCAAGTTTTTTAGTAAAAAATTAAAAATTGTATACTAAAAAGCCGCTTCAAGAATCAGTAAAAAAGCTGTCCCAAACGAAGCCTAAGACCAAAATTTAGCCTCAGAACCATCACCCATGAACAAAATCACCGGAAAATTATAATACATAAAAAATAGAACTTTCAAAAATTTTAGTTCAAGAAATTTTATATTAAAAAACTGCTTTTAAAAAGCAACATGAAAGCTGTCTCAAACAAAACCTCAATACAAAAAAACCGCTTACATTAATTAATGCGCTCTTCTAACTTCAAGAAATTATTACGTGCAGAGAACAGATACAGAGAACCGTCCATTTTGTTTCTATGAACAGTAAAAACGCAGTAAACTAGCATGGTGAATTTGCTTAGATAATAAGGTTCACTGCGCCAGTTCACTGCTATATTACTTTTCACATAGACAAAATCAAACAGTTGTCTATGTCCGATCTCCGCACGTAGTAATCTCTCTCGAACTCCAATGACATTTTCATCTAAATGAAGCTTTCATACATACATAAGCAAATAAAAAAGTAAATCTCATTTGAAAAGATCATTTTTCTACAGCTTATCATAAAAATAATTAAAAATATATCCAAATAAAAAATAAACTAATTATTATTTTTAAATATTTTATTTAAGCTAGATCTTAATTTAATTGGATATTTAAACATTAAATTTGACCGTTTATTTTAATTATTATCCAAACAATTTGAAACGGATTAGATTAACTTCACATCTAATCTTTGGTACAGTGTCGTGTCGCTCAGCCACTCGCTCGGCGGGAATCGTGGGCGGCGCACCATAAGAGCTCATCACACCTGTCTGCAAAAAGAATATGCGGTGGATAACTATGCGCACAAGCCCACCATTTCCCTTGCATTTAACTTTGACCATGATTAAATAATAATTATAATTAGGGTTAGTTTTTTTTTTGAGATATTTAGATCAATTAAGACAAATTCACGCATATCATATGTGCGAGACTCGAACCCAAGATCTATAAGTTGATAGTCGAAGCTGTCAACCAACAGATGAAAGGGAGAGCTAGTTAGGGGTGTAAGTGAACCGAGTTGGCTCACAAGTAAAAGCTTGAACTCGATTTGTTGATGAGTTCGTGAGTCAAGTTTATAGTGCCATGAATTCGAGCTCAATTGAGCTCATGGATGATGCGAGATTGAGCTCGAGCTAACTATATTTAAGAAATAATTTTAAAATATAATTATATTATAGTTTTTTACATTTTAAATTTTATGTATGGAGAATAAAGAGATGGCCAATGAGCTTTCTAGAAAAGGAAAAAAAAAACTCCTTTTGTATTTATATGTCATTTTAATGTGATTTCATTATAGTTTTTATGGTAGTTATAAGCGTTACACATAAGGAGGAAAAACAATTCATAGGGTGGCGAAGCTATATTAAATGCACATGAAAACTTTCTTTAGGTTTCATAACTCTACCTTTGAAATTCAAACTTTCAATTATTTTGAATGGAATTATTGATGTTATAAGCCATGACATGCGATAACATTATAGGAGACACGACGTGCATGGTCATCGGCATTAGTCTTGATGGTTTGCACTAGCTTATAAGTGTTGATGTTGGTTAGAAATGGCAAGTGATGAACTCAGTGGGTATTGATATTGGTGTCAATGACAAGTATCACTTTTTTAATTGATAGATCATGGATGCTGTTAATGACGTTAGATAATAAAGTTAGTAGGTATCAATGTTAGACTTGATGGATTGCATCAGCTTTATAGGCAATGGCATGATCAATTTTGTTTGACAATAAGGGGATATAAAGTTAGTGACCATCAGTACTGATGTTAATGGCATGCATTAGCCATATATATGATGACATGCATCAATATTATTGTCAATGACATGAAAGTAAATGGATAGGCATAAGCATTGGTGTCGACAACATGCAGCAACCTAATAATTGATGGTGTGTGTCGATGTTTGTTAGCAGTGGTGGGCCATGGAGTATGTGAGCTTGGGCATTGGTGTCAACACCATGCATTAGCCTTATTGAAGATGGAGTGCATCAATATTGGTATGTTGCCAACGTGCATTGTTCTTATAGGCAATAACATGTGTTGATGTTAGTGGCGATGACATGGACAAAGTCGAAGGTTATTGGCAAATATGTTGATGGCATGCATCAACATTATAGGTGACATAATAAATCGATGTTTGTGTCTATGGCAGGAGACAATGTGGTCGAGTGTGGATCTTTTGTGTCAACAGTGTGCATCAACTTTACAGGCGATAACTTGTGTTTACTTTATGAGTAATGGTGGATGACGATAATCTGTTAATGTTATAATTGTATGATTGTTGAAGAGAGATTACAATAGAGTAATGATGGTTGAATAACTATAAATGCATCATGGCGATTATAAGATTGTATCGGGTGATGATATTCCAATAATAGTTTTGGTTGGTGGCAGTTCAACGATTATGGCCGAACAATGAATATTTGGTCATAATGGTCATGCAGTGGTAGTTTGGCCATATTAGTTGTACGATAATAGTGATTAGATGACGATGATCTGATGGTGGTGGTGGTGGTAGGACTATGATGATCCAATAATGATAGTTGGGCAGCAATAGTTAGAGAGTTGTGGTCTTTTTACAAGTTTGGAGAAGATAACCGATGAGACAAACTCATCGATGACATAAATGATTCGATGTGAGTCCAAATTAAGCAAAATCAAACACATAAAAGTTATTTGAAAACTCCATAATATTAATTGAATAACCAAAACTATCTCAAAAATTACGTTTTTGGCACTCAAACTTTCTCCATAAATACAGAAATAAAAAAATAAATAAATGAAATCATTAAAGTAACAAAGCACGACTCTTAAAGAAATTGTCTGCCGGGCTGGAACCAAGCATGACCACTTCCAATTTCAAAGCATACATTACTCCGTCGGCTGCCCCAAATTTCCCACCAGAGAAAAACCCTAATCGCCAAATCGAAAATTTGAATCCCTTATCCCTTAATTAGTCAAAAAGAGACGACAAACTTCCAGACTTAAGAATCTTTCAATCCTTTCCTCCGGATCGCTATAAATACCCGCTTTCGGTAGCCAAATTGCGTTACATCTATACTTCCAACTTCCTCTGCGACTCTTATCATCTTTGGTCATCTCCTCTGCGACTCACTCGGATTTCTAATGGGCGAAGGATTGAAGAAGATGTTCAACGATAAGTACTCCTCATATCAGGCCGAGGAGGAAGAAGATCTCGGCGAGGACACCGATTCCGGCGGAGAATCGGATTCCGCACCGTCGCCCCGAAGCCAGCTACAGAGATCGCCTTCATCTCGCTTCGATTCCGACAACCCACTTTACGATTTCTCCTACCTCGTCGAGCAGCTACCTGTGAAGTATGTATTTGTTCTTTACAGCTGTATTTATGAAAATTTTTGTTTATTTTCTTGAAAGTTATTGACTTTGTTTGGATCGTATGGTATAAAGTGTTCAGAAACATTCAACCATGCCGAAGAAATGGTTTTTTTTTAATTAATCTCCATCTGGAAAAGGGCTTTTCACTTCAGATTGCTTCTTTAGTCTCTTTGGATCTTGTTCTTGTTTCTGTCATCAATTGCCTTGTTTTAGGCTATTTTCTTGAAAATTTAAAATGTTTTATTTTGTTTGATATTGATTATTTGAAATCAGAAGTTAGGAAATACATCTGAATAAAGTGATTGCAGGCAACGTTTGATGAAGATGAGAACTGAAGATTTTATCGTCTGGTTTTTCAATATTTATCCTGAATGACTTTCTTTCTCTTTGTTTAAAGCTTTAAACTTTAGTACTGAACCGAAGGCTAAACCTTTACTAGATCTATATTAAGAGTTGCATACAATATCTGAATCAGTTATCCCTAATTCGATCACTCGATTTTTCTTTTTAGTTCTATGTATGCATTAAAATCTTATTATTTTCAAAATTAAGACCCCATTTTTTTAAATCTAACTGCAAGTCTGTGTATTTAGGAATCAAACATCCCAATCATTGAACATCTATTTATGTAATTTGTCATGGTGATTCTTCTTTCTAAGCCATTCACGCTTGTTAGAGTCAGTAATGGGGTTTTAAATTTGCCTCCCAAGCTGTAATCTTTGAGCTTAAGGCTTTGTTTGGGATGGCTTTCTTAGGGGCTGTTTGGTAGCAGGATTTAGGCCGGATTTGAGGCGGATTTGAGCGAAATCAAGCCAAACGGCCTAAAATACAAAACCAAATCTCACAGCAAATGAAAGCTATCATAGATGGAAAACTCCGCCTTATCCCGGATTTACGAAATCCTATTTTTTGTCGGATTTACGAAATTCATTGGCTCCAGAGGAAGAGTCTGCTTGTAAAATCCGCTCTATAGTCAAACAGTAACACAGGATTTAATAGGATTTATCATGAATGTTACCGAACAGTTTTCAGGATTTAGGCCCTTCAGGATTTCCATAATCCGGATTTAGCGGATTTACTAAATCCTATTTAAATCAAATCCTCGGTGCTACCAAACAGCCCCTAAATTTAAGGAAATATTAAACTTGGTCTTGATTTTTAATAAATAATTAGCATTTTGAAGTGAGAGTTTTATGAAAGGGCTGTTTGGTATCCTATCTTAAGTATGATTTAAGCAAGATTTAGCAATTTGGAGGTTTTAAATCTTCTTGTTTTGATAAATCCCATTTCAACCTATTTATTGGTGAAAGCCATAATTTTTCTTATTTATACAAATATTAAATCATCTAATAAATAGCCAAACAATTTATTAGAACTCTACAAGATTTAAATTCTTTCTAGATTTACAAAATCCTACTAGCCTTAATCCTTTGTTATTGGGCTTTGCAGGAAAGGTCTCTCCAAATACTACCAGGGAAAGTCTCAATCATTCACATCCCTCTTAGAAGTAAATTCTTTGGAAGATCTTCCCAAGAAGGAGAAAGAGGTTATCTACCCAAGAAAGATGAAGTCCTGCAAGAGCTATACAAATCTGGATTTGGCTGAAATGTCTGTTTCTTTATCATCTGAGAACAAAACCATTCCAAAGAAGAACCCTCCAGCCATGGCTTCTTGTGCTTCTTCCATTGCCAGAAGCAACAGTGGCGGCTTTCTTAGCTGCGGTCGCCGCCGTCCGCCCATTCCGGTGAACAAACGCCAGTAAACTCGCTTTAGAAGTCCTGTAACCAAGTTAACTAAGGCTTTGTTTGGGACGGCTTTGTTGCTGCTTCTTAAAGCAGCTTTCTTGTTCAATAATTAAAATTTTTGTACTAAAAATCTGCTTTAAGAAGCAATAAGAAAGCCATCCCAAACGAAAGCCTAAACCAGAGTCTTATTGTTTCCTTGTTGAAATTTTTTGTATATAAGAGGGAGGTTCAGGTGGCATTGAGAAACTTCTTTTAAGACTTTTTTGTTAGAAAAATTTGAGTTCAATTTCAATAGTATTTGATTCTGAATTTTGCTGATTTATTGGTCTTCAAAATGTGCTTTATATTCTCTACCACCTAATAAGGCTTTATTTTGTAATATGATGACTATTGCAATTTATTTTTGTGTGGTAAACACTATTAGAACTTAGATGTGTAAACCAATAGAGCTATTATACTAAGGCTTTATTCCGGATGATTTTCTTACTGCTTTGTAAAATTATTTTTTAATATAAAAATCTCTTAAAAGTAGAGAAAAAATAGTGGCCTAAAGTTGTCTTAAATAAAGTCTAAGACTTCGTTTGGAACGGCTTTTTTACTGCTTTCTGAAGCAGCTTGTTAGTACAAATTTTTTTAATTTACGAAATTTTTGTATTAAAAAGTTGCTTTATAAAGCCAAAAAAAAAAAAAAACCGATCCAAACAAAGAATAAATCATCGAATTTGAGCTCATTAAGGATCAAATATGAAAGATTTTTTTTTTTTTAAATCCTAACAAGAAGTTCTTCATCTTTACACATTTCTTCATGACCACAAGATTTCAAAATGTATTTAGGGAAGAAATTTCTTTCTTTTTTGAAGGAAAAAAAAAAGCATTGGAGCTTAGGATCTAAGCAAACAAGCCAGCTTACTCGCACTACATAGAACTACTCCTTCCTTCCATTCGCTAAGAGTATCAGAATAAAGCTTCACCCCCTCAACCAGAATAAAGAAGAATAATACTGATGTGGATATTTATATGATGGTGATGTAAAATTGATATATTTAATTTAAATTTTAATTAAATTTTTTTTTTAAATTATCTTAAGTTGGATTGGATATTTTGATATAATTTTTTATTAATAAATATTAAAAAACACTCCTAACCCATAATTATCCATTAATTACCAATCTTATCCATGATTTTTATTTTATTTGGGCAGTCAAATTTTATTCTTTATAAGCACAATATGAGCTATCTAAATCTTATTAAATTATTTAGTTTATCATTTTTAGCATCTTTTAATAATTAAGAGATGAAAATACATATTTTTTATTTAATTTAAAAATATATATTTAATTGACTTTTTTTGGAAAAATAGATATAAAGTAAAGTATGCGTATAACAATAGTGATGGCCTCATTGAGCCATACATAATTGAATTAGCCTCTATTAATGTTTGGCATGTTCAAAGAAAGATATAATAAGGTTTCGTTTGGGCCGCTTTCTCATTGCTTCTTAAAGTAGCATTTTAGTACAAAATTTTTAATTCAAAAAAAAATTGTACTAGAAAACTACTTTTAAAAGTATAAGAAAGTTGTCCCGCGTGAAGCCTAGGCTTAGTGGAACGGCATTTTTGTTGTTTCTTAAAGCAACTTTTTAATACAAAAATTAAAATTTTTATACGATAAAGTTGTTTTAAGAAGAAACAAAAAAGTCGTCCCAAACGGGCATAAATCTCGTTGGAGCTTTAAGAACGTAATTCAAAATGAGTCATATGTGAGTCTATTGTAAGATATGTATAAAGACGTGTTACTCTTTTTAGAATTATTACATGTTAGAAAATTTGTAGTGGTAAAGTGTGTTTAATATCTTAACTTTTGATAATAGTTTAAGAGTGTGAAAGAAATTGTAAGAGATCAAAATACCAACAACAACTCATATGTTAAAGGTCAAATGGCGATAGTCGAACGACAAAGGTCTATTGATGATGGTGGAGATTGCTGACGATGATCATCTACCGTGATCGTTAGAAAATATTATGGAATTCTTTAACCTCAGCTCTCCCATCTTTCATTCTTGTTGAAACGAGATATTATTTACAGACTTTTTGAGAGAACTAAACATTCCATGATACAGTCCATATTGATCCCCTTGATCATATAATATTTATTCATAATCAAATATCCTTATTGGGAATAGATCTTACTACATGGAGAGTCTCTCTCTCTCTCTCTCTCTCTCTCTCTCTCTCTCTCTCTCTCTCTCTCTCTCTCTCTCTAGCTCTGCAAGCAAAGATCCTAAGAAAAAGCCAATGGTTTCATTTAACAGAAAGGATCTAAAAAAAAATATCCTCAGAGAAACAGACAACAGAAGAGACATAATCAGACAAAGGGCTAAGAGTATTAAGCCTGCGAGCAAAAGCTATTACCGTTAGACTTCCCACAGATCTTCGAATCTGCGGTTCAGACTAATCTACAGACTAATCCAGCTGAAGAACACGACAGAATACTTCAAATTTCATCCATTAAAGAAGATTTAAGTGAAGTTTCTTTCTTTCTTCCTACAGCTTTCGTGGCAGACAAATGGCTTGAAGCAGGATGGAAGGACGGCAGATATTGGAAAATTTAAGGGATGAAAGGAGGCAATAAGGCCTTGAGACCATTCAGGGATTGGTTAGTGAGTCAATTCTAATTCTATATAATATTATGTGCATTTATGTGGACTACTTTGTATTGTTGTATATATTTGTATATATATATATATATATATATATATATATATATATATGTATAATCATCTTAATCCAGCACTAATATCGAGGCATATTTAAATTAGAAACTTTTAAAATTAAATTTGGAATCATTCAAACTCCAATCTCAACAAACTTATAATCAAAGTGTCAAACTAAACGTATTGATAAGACGAACTCAATGACATCAAAATCGGTCTAATCTGAACCCAAATGAGCCAAAATCAGGAGATTGAAATATATTTAAAAGTTCCAAAGCATTAATTGGATAATCAAACAATCTTTAAATATGGCATACGTATAGTGACTATAGTCGAATTGAGTGGCTCGACGAGTCAAATCTAACTAGCTCAAGATCACTTAATTAAGGTACTTAAATGCTTGATGAAAGCCCTATGATCGAGGGAATAAATATGGACCGTTTGATGGAGCAATCCGAATTTGCCATATATTTTCTTCATATATACGGAGCATGCCATTCCCAAAAACCCTATAAATAGAACATCATTTTTCACATGAGGGAAGGAGGAAGGAGGAGATAGAGAGCTATAGAAAGAACACTTTTACATTTTCTAGTTATCATCGTCAATGATCGCCACCAGCTATCGCTATTGATGACCGGCATCAAAAATCACTATCATCTCTAGAATACTGACAAGATTTGATGTCAATGCTGGGTTTATTTTTCTTCCCATGAATATCTATTTCTATAATCCCTATTAAGTAAATTAAGCCATACTGTTGGGGAATATATTAACCCTCTATAGACGCTTGATCTTTGTAGTCTCCCTCTTCTTCAACAATGAAGAAAGGATAATCTTTATATCACTTTCTATATAATGGATTTTACAATTCGGCCAGACTCGTGGTTTTTTCCTTTTATAGGTTTTTCACTTAAAAAGTTCTTTGGTCTTACTACTTTGATTTGTATGTGTTGAATCTTTATATAATGCTAATATATAAAACATACACTCTATCGATTTAAATTTTTTATCTCATAATAGTTTGACGCCGTCTGTGTGAACAATATTCCCAACCTACTTCATCAATGGCTAGCAAACAATATCTCTATCAAGAAAAACAAAATATGGGTAATCAAGTCCCCCTATACCTCACTTTAGAGGATTGTATACATAGGATGGAGAAACTTCAAAGTCAAATCTTTAATTTCAAGAGGAGGCTGGATAACAAAGGGCACCATCACAACATGTTGGAGTCCTCCCTCCACAATATCAATAATATTATGTGGACAACACCAATCAAGGAGCACCTCATTCCCTACAAGCTCATCAAATTCTCTCTAACACAACTAGTTCAACATATCCTCCTCATATTATTCAGTCAACCCATAACCATCAATCAATTGTAGAGAACTTAGATCAACATCATTTTATTGATGCCCCTCTAAATAAAATAAGAGATATACTACAAAGTCTTATTCATGAGCAATTTTCTTTGAGATATAGAATCAATTTACTCATTCACGCACCTTCCAAGAGTTACCACCTTTAAAAATGAAATTTTCCAACATCCTATTCCAGTGGGATTCAAAGTATCCATTATTGATCCATATGATGGATCATTTGATCTCTATGAATATAATTATCATTATAGAACCATCATGCATTTCCAATAAGTCTTTCATGCACTACTTTACTGGTCGTCCCTGTTGTTCTCAAGGGTCAAGCTTGTACTTAGTTCTACTCACTCTCAAGAAATACTATCAACAACTTCACCCACCTTGCTAGACTTTTCTTCGAACAATTTATTATTAATAAAAGAATTATCAAGGACTCATCTAATCTTTCTAAGATTCTTAAAACTGGGGGAGAAACACTAAAAGAGTAATTTAAAGGATTTTCTTTTGAAGCGCATCAAAAATTAAGTATGGATCCTCTTGGAAGTCTCTGCCTTGGACCATTCTACTCGTCATTGAGCCAATCTAATTCATCAAATTGAAGCATAAAAATTAGTGCTAAGACTATCAATGCTCATCGAAAGCAATTTAAGCAATCCTCCACCAAACGTAACAACTCACAAAAGTTTGATCAGCATATACAAAGAAGAAGACATGATAAATCAAAAGATCATTCTCATCAAATTCATTAAGAATCACGTAACTATACTCCTTTAAATACATCAAGGGCTAATATTATGATGGAGATTCAAAATTATGAATATCTAAAGTGGCCAAAGCCCCTAAAAAATGTAATAAGTTGAGATCAATCTCAATATTGTAACTTTCATCGTTCAAAAAGACACTCAACTAAAAAATGTTTTCAATTAAAGAATGAGGCTGATCGTTTGGTTCACCAAGCACATTTATGTCAATATTTACAAGGACAACTTGCAGATCGTTAGACTCATAATATAAGAGATCAGAAGAGTTATGGGGGAGAAATTGTTGGCATTATTAGCTAGGAGTACCTCCATATTTGAAATTACTTGAACGGATTCAAACTTTTAAAAATTTCAACTTGTATATTTCAAATAAGTTTTATTTAAATTTTTAATAATATTTTATATAAATAATTTCTCATATAATAACAACCCTAGGAAAGCACACCCATAAGATAGCATCGAAGGGAATCTAGTAGTGGACAATGTTCTCACTAGAAAAATCTCAAGAGGGCAAGTGGTGGATAAGGTCTCCACCCATAATCCCGTAAAGGCAAATACATGAGGTAGCCTCGAAGGGAAGCCAATAGTGGACAATATCCTCACTAGAAAGATTCCATGAGAGCAACTGATTTACATGGTCACCACTCATTCAGAATTCTCAAATAAATGCCTCAAAAGGTTCATGATTATCTAAAAAAGAAACATTTAAAGGCAAAAGCCCCAACAATTATATGCATACATAAAACCTAAGGAGGCAAAAGCCTCAAAAGGTATATATACACATAAAATCTCATGAGGCATAATCTTATAAGATATATGATTATCTAAAAATGATAGAAGACTACACCTCATAAGGTATAGATACACCAAAAATCTTAGAAGGTTAAAAGCCTCAAAATGCTCAAGATTATTTAAAAACCCATTAAAGAAAAAGACATCAAAAGGAACATGTGTACGTAAAATATTAGAAGAAAAAAAATCTCAGAAGATATATGTACACATAAAATCTCGAAAGTCATAGCCTCAAAATATACAAGTACAAGAAATCTTAAAAGGTTAAAACCTCAAAAAGTACATGTGAAAAAAAAAAAATTTAGAAGGCTAACAACCTCAAAAGTTCAAGATGATCTAAAAACCTTTAAAGATAAATGCCTCAGAAGGAACAAGTATACCTAAAATCTTAGAAGGGAAAATCCTCAAAAGATATATGTACATCCAAAAGCTTGAAAGATATAAGCCTCATAAGTTATATGATTATTCAAAAATCTCAAAAAGCTAAAAGTTTGAAAGATTTTTTTTTCAATTTTATAATATTACTATTAAACACTCCTTTTTCACAATTATCAACATGTTATCAAATTTCAAAGTCTTTAAGACAGCAAAATACTTTTAGGAAGGACTATCTTCAATAGTCCTTAATATTGATTTATGCTCACATTATTGGTACAATGAATTTCTCTTCAACAGTTTCATGGAGGTTTGTTTTTTTAATTTTACTGCATTTTTTTAAGTTGTCTATGATTCACAAGCGCCTATTGGTGCAACTCTTGAGATTATGGCTGCTCACTAAATGGTATGTTGGTTTTTAGAGTATATTGAGATTGTTTTCTCCACTAATTATAATTATTCCAGCTTTTATTTTATAAAAAAAATTTATATATCACTTTTTTCTCCTCATTATGGTTGCATGAATGCACAAATTTACATATCAACTATAGGTGATGCAATATAATGTGAGAGACATTTTCATGTTTTACAATGATAGAACTTGTTCATGTATCTTGTGATGAGTTTTTATTGTGGTTTTAAACTCTTAGTGCCATTAGCCAACAATTCTTCTAAATCCTTCTTAATATTTTTTATCCTGGAATTTCTCTAATCTATGCTACTTTAAGCTATTCAAGAGTTAAATATGGTTTAATCAATATACACACACACACAAAAACATTCCTCCTAGCTATGCCATGACATTCATTTTTTGGCACTTTAATCTTATTTGTTACTCATTCATTTTTTTTTAACTTGGTTAGATGTACTTCGTTCATCTTTCTATTCGATCGTTTCATCACGTAATTATGTTTTCTTATTTTTTTCTAGTTATGCTAGATATATGATACCACTTGTGTGTTTGTTCGCACAACAAAAGATCATCCCATTCATCTTTTAGATGTCATTTCCGGTAATTTTGCTAATTGTCATTTAATTTTGAAGCTTTGTTGTGAATGATCGCTTTTGGATGCTTCTTGTTCTAATTGTATTTGTGTTGGTTCTGTTAGCTTCGTGGTATTTATATGACATATGATGTCATGAATGAAATAACTGATGTACTTTCACTCTTTTTTTATACCTATGTTGTTAAGTATGGAAATTTTCCCTTTCTTAAAGCTCCTAATTTTATGAAGTTGAGATATATTATTATGGTTTAATATTAGTTCATCCATCTTATATTTAGTTTTAATAATTTATTTAAGCTATATATATATATATATATATAAAATTATACAACTAAAATATTTCTCATATGTCATAACATTCCTTTTTTATTGCACTTTAATCTTATTTTAGTGCTCAATCATTTGTTATTGTTTTAATTTGGTTAGATGTAATTAGTTCAACTTTCAATCTTTTGTTCAAGTAATTATATTATCTTAGTTTTTTGCTTATGTTTAGGTCTTATCACATGTATTTTTGTAGGCACAACAAGAGACAAACCTATTCATTTTTTGGATGCCATTTATGGTGAATTAGCTAATAGCCATTTAATTTTGAAGCTTTATTATGAAGGATTGCTATTGGATGATTTGGGTTTTATTCTATTTGTGTTGGTTCTGTCATCTTCATGGCATTTATAGGGCATATTATGTCATTTGTTGTCTTTCTTAAGCTTCTAATTTTTTTGAAGTTGATATATATAATC